CACACACAGACAACCTCTCGTCAATATGCGTTTTCTGCATTGCATAGCTGCAAAAAACGCATAAAACGCAGAGCCTGAAGAAATGCAAGAGAGAGCTACTGCTGTATCAACCCATTATGGCAGCGCTAAAGGACAGAAGTGGATATGGGAGACACCTGTAAAAATTGTACGCAAATCTTTTTGCATCATGTATCGACATTCCAGCACCCATAATTGGCGCCACCAAGCAGAAAATCCCTCCAGCACTTGTCAGCAAGGTAAGGCACGCAGCTCTCCAAATAAAAAGTGGAAGGGCTTAACGGAGATGATGATATTAGCACCGAACTGATCAATCCGGAAGGCATGAACTTTGGAAAGCTTTCGCCATCAATTTCAGTTGATGGCCGAAAGAAGAGTACCTAGCAGCCGAAAAGAGTCGAAAGTCGTTTTAGTATATAAAAAAGGCGATAAGAAAGATCTAAAGAATTACCGCCCGACTTGCTTATTCTTTCATATTTACAAGCTGCTCACGAGGATTAGCATTAACTGACTAACAGGACTCCCTGACGAACAGCAGCGGAAGGAGCAAGCTGGACTGCCGAGAAATTACAGAACAATGGATCACATACTAGCTCTGAATCATGCTGGAATGTGCAAGGGAGTCGTAGCTCCCTCTCTGTCTCCTATTTGTCCGTTACAAAAAAGCATTCGGTAGCACAGTGCTAAAAGCTGTGCTGCGTGTTCTATTAGATAATGGGATTGATGGGGACTACGTGGGAAGCATTAAAGAAGCAAACAGAGGCTGTTCAGCAGACATAACACTTTTCTTCTTTCCCGTCCGCAAACCGATCGAGGGTAGAGTGGGACAGGGTGATACCATATCCCTCGGCTTTTCACTGCTTGCCTCAAAATGGTATTTCAGAAATCGGGTTAGAAGATTGGTCTGAAGATCAATGGTGCATATCTAAATCACCTGTGCTTCGAGAATGACAGTTCTTATTGCCAAAATCTTTCACAAAATAAGATGCTGCAGAAGCCCAACTCACGAAGAAAAGGAAGTGGATCTGACAATCAACGCATCGAAAACGGAAATGATGCAAAGTCCGGTATGCCTGCAGAAGACTACAGATATATGAAGTGGACTTGGAAAAAGCTGACACTTACGTCTATCTCGCGCAAAAAGTAAGTATGCGCCACAACCTCCAACTGTAGATTGCTCTCAAGCGCTGACGGTTAGCGAAGATTCCATAGCATTTCCGATGTCCTCAAAGTGTCAAACTAAAAGGATCTTACTCATCTCTTCAATACCGCTACGTTAAATGCAATGGCATACGGATGTGAAATGTGATCACACGCGAAAAATGAGGGGTGACCGCAGGTTGTAATGAAGCGAAGGTATGGCGTTTCTCTTCGCAACTACATAAACAATCAGACTATCATATGAGCGACGTTCAAGATATCACTGCTTCCATGTGAGAAAGTAAAATCAGACGGAGAGGAAACGTTGCTCGCCTTGCCGACAATCGGTGGACGATGTGCGTTACTGAGTGATACCCACGGGAAATAAACGACCAGTCGGGCGACTCCCGAAGTGATGCACATACATCGAATGGGGGAGAGTACTGCAGCTCAAGATCGAAGGGCCTGGTATAGCTACGCTTGAAGTACTGAAGCATTCTAGTACCATCACTAGTAGAGGATAACAATTGCAAGTCCGAGAGTTTTTGGTATTACTAGTATAAATGAGGCCATTCGTGCTTTTGAAAGTCTCTTTACCAGGAACTAATAGAGCTGGTAAACGAAGACAAGATTTCAAGCTTAATTTGTCCGTATGCGTGACGTAGGCGTACGTTAAAGTTGGATTTGAAATCTTTAGTTTACACAAGAGCGAAGAGGAAGTCACTGTAAAATTCCAGCTTTCCATTCCACCCGATTTTCGAAATCGTTTTCCGGCCAAAACTCCATGTCTTCTAGGGGGCGTGAATGTGTACGTGAGATAAACGCACGTGAACGATGATTTCAAGCTAGCAGAATCGCTTGTGGACTTGGGACATTCCAGTAAAATCCAGCTCCCTAGCTGCTCTGACTGCTGAGTTGAAAGTGGGCGACAAAATCCACAAAAACACACACACATACCGACAATCCTTCATCAACATAAGTATTTACACTGCATTATATATGTAAAAACGCGCAATAAACGAAGACTTACGCTTGATGCATGCTCGATTACAGGATAAAACATGTGCTTGAATAATCTGCCAGTTTTCACTCTCATTTCTTGTTTTACATGAATTAATACGTCCCAGATTAACCATCCAAACGATAACGAGCGATGAATTGAATTCTCCGATGCCCAACCTGAAAGATCTAATACATGGATGCAAAAACAGATGCTGCGGTAAAGTACCTGAGACAACTCCAGCTTTGGTTATGTTAAAAGAGACCCAGAATCGACTGTGTTAGTAACGGTAATGCGAGAAATCAGGTAGAAGGATGTTTCAAGTACATGCTAAAAGCCAGCAGAAGCGGCGTGCAACAGGTTTGCCGGTGCAATCATGCGTTTTTGTACGATTCAGAGACCGCATGGACTCAAACACATCGTTATATTCAGCTTTACTCAAACATATCTCAAACATACTATAACATACTCAAACTCAAACATACTCAAAAACATCGTCATATTCAGTACGATTCAGAGACAAGCTTTCTAGCTCAGCAGGTTCCCCATCGCTTTCCTGTCAAAAATGGTTGGTAATAACCGAAAGCGTGATAAAGGCGTTCGCGAATGGTCGTTTCAAATCTACGGATTCACGCACAGACAGGAAATATTTTCGCAAAATCAAATAAACACACTTGGCTTAGTTTGCCAGCTATTACAAAATAGTAACTTCAAATTGCTTGTACATATGATGTACGCGTGCGCGTTCAAGCTGAGTTTAAAATCTTCAGTTCAGATAAGGCAACTGGATATTCTTATGAAGTTTCAGTTTCATATCTTGTCTGCTCTCCGAAATTCTTTTGTCGCCAAAATGTTACACAAGCTTTTTAGGCGTCCATACTTAAGACCGAACCGCATGTGAAAGATAATTTTAAAAATGGAGCATCGCGCACAGAATGGAAATATACTCCAAAAATTTCAGCTTCCTAACTTTACCGGTTGCTGAATTGAAAGTGTATGACAAAAGTACGAACATACATACATATGTGCACACACACACGCGCAAATACACGCATACATAAATCTCGTCAATACGCTTTTTTGCACTTGCACAAATGTGCAAAAACGTATAAAAATGTACGGTGCTCACAGAGGGTACGTAAATAGTTGAGCACTACAGTGTATCTGTATATGGATGCGATGCAGATCTCAATCCCGTCAAACTTTTGGATGTGGAAATGTAGGCTGCAGTTTAATTAACATGTATTCGTCACAGTTCGAAAAATCCGGAAACAGCGAAAAGTTCCGTATCCTTCCGGATCATATCTTTGTAAAAGTCTGTTTTTCTAGTACAACAGCCTCGCTATTCGACTATGTTAATCATTAGTGAGGCTACATCCAAATGAATCAAAAAAGTTCAGTGGAAACCAAATTGTCACAGTGCCGGTCATTTTAAGCAGCTGTGGACAGACAGCTTTCAGTGCAATCCAGAAACTTAGTTATTTGATAGGCTGTTTGAAAAGTACAGCTAACAAAGCTCACGCTTAAAAATTATCCTATGATATAACGATGCTCAGGCAGACGTTGCAACAGAAAAATATGATAAGGCGTCCACACCAGAAAGAAACAGGGTAGCTACGAAGAACTGAGGAGTTTAAGGATTTGCGCGAAATGTTCGAATAAGAGCAAACTGCTGCAGCAATCGCAACATCCTTAGCATTCATAACTTCTACGTAAAAAGATACCAATATTTGTCAAAGCAATTCTGCGGAGATTAAATAACTTGCGTACTGCAACTATCGCTTCTTAAAAGTCATAATCCTTTCCATATTTCAGTTTCTACGGGAGATGAATAAACCTGAACGGATATACACTGGCAGCAACTTTTACTACTATTGGTAATAAATGGCTCTGACGTATGATTTCAAAATAAAAGTTTGGCAAGAACAACATTTTATACCAAAAACGGAAAGTAAACGATAACGCAGCAAACGTTAGGTAATCTGCGCTTTATCTATTGCCATCAGTCTGCGACTGTTCGACGCCATTTAGAAGCTATAAAATACTTTCGTCCTCAAAAGACTATCTTTTCAAGTATACTTCCCACTGTGAAACTCTTGATACAATCGAACTTTTATTTCCGAAAGGGTACTGGTCAAAAAAAAAAAAAAAAAACATAGTATTCAAGATTACACATGAACGTTCTTAATCGGATGCCAGGGAAATTCTACGTCCCCGTTTCCTGCTGATGTTACTGCTGGTTGTGTGATCAGATTCTTGGATCCTATTAAATTCTCCTAGGCTCGAAAGTGTGACATAGCACTAGGTTATTAACATTACCGCCAATTTTTTGAGCAACTGCCACAATAAAAACAAAAATAGCAACAACTAATACTGAAAAAATAAAACTACTAAGAATTATTCCGATAAGTCTAATGAATTACAGCCAGTCCCACCAGTTTAATTTCAATCAAAAAAGCCTGGGAAGACAGGATGAGCAAAACAAATTCCAAGCCTTTTCCGCGTAATTCAATTTCGTTAATTCCAGGTCCTGATTTCACATCCTTCTGTAGATCTGAAAAAAGGTTGTGAAATCAGGCCCTGGAATTGTTTTGCTGATAAGAGATTCTGCGGATCTTTTATCACAACTGAATATGCTGCAAGCTGTGAAAACAAGCACAGTTTTCAAAAGATGAAAAAAACAACGAATTCCGGGACTACGGTGCAAAAATTTGAAAGAGCGGATAATCCCAATAGCGTTATGAGCAGAACTCAGAGATCCTACTCACCCAGCGATGAAAAACAGGACGGATAAAAAGATAATCAATATGGCGGGATGAAAGAAGGAAAGACACAAGTGAGAAATGGCAAATGACTTGATTTTTTTTTTTTTTTTTTCACAAAATACAGGATAAATTTGCTTTTCCCAAGAGAAAATTAGCATTTCACTTTCCTACAAAATTGCTTTATTTGATAATAATCTGAGCAATTCGGATAAACCTTTAGCAATTCAAACTTACTGTCTGCCTGAGTTTTCCAGTATAAATAAAACCAAAGCCGAAACTTTCTCCGTGTTTACTTTTAGTAGGAGATTAAAGCAACTGGGAGCAGATGCCAAAAGCAACCATCCATTAACAGGGCTGCCGATAACTCCTCCTTTTAAGAGCTCCTTAATGGCAAACCGATGGCAGTTATGGGTCTTTGGATACGTCAGCACTGATTTACCACCGAAACGTTGAATGAATGGCAAAGGGCTGGTTGTCTCACTGGGCCCAGTCGAAACCCTGTTCCTTAACAAAAAATAAAACAAATACAATAACCAGCAGCAAAACTGTGGATATAATTACCATGCAGCTGTATCAATAATAAGCACTTACGGTAGCAGATCATGTAATAAGCAGATGCTTTCCTTTTCATAAGTTCCGATGAACGACGGCAAAATCTTCGTTCATCTAAATCGAAACCGCTCTCAAACTGCAGCTCTGTGTTTTCTCTAAAACCACCAAATTCTCGGAAAAACTCACGACGGTATCTGCAATACATACGAGAACTTCTATACGGTGATAATTCAATGGATATATTACAATGATAGCAATGACCAACACATACAGAGACAGGGATGTAGGAAAACCTTAGACTGAAGAGCATTAGGATGTCGGTACTATCGTGTTTTCTTGCAGCAAACTTGTAGCAGCCATGTCGTTACTACATGAATCGCTCTTGCTTTACATTTACCTCGTGCGCCCATTAGCGTAAATCATCGTAGAGTTTGCATAAAGAAAAGTGAACAATTTTCGCCGGATGGTCGTTCTTTGAAAATGAGTTAGCTGTTCACCGAGTAATTCTCTCGCCAAAACTTTTGAGTGCCCGTAAATGACTTTTAAATCGTGCCTGAACAGAAAACATTCGCCTAAAATTTCAGCCTTCCAGCTTTTCCGATCCCGAGTTAGCGAATTTTTCCGCCAAAACTTACACATGCCCACACGTGAACACCATGCATGTCTGGGGGGTGAATTTGAAATACTTATGTTAGACATGGACGAGGGATATCCTCTTAAAATTTTAGCCTTCCAGCTCATTTGGTTTTCGACTTAGCAATCTCCCCGTCAAAACTTTCACGTGCCCGTACGTGAGTACCGCGCGTACTTGGGAAATGAATTTAAAACCTTTAAAATGTGTATGAACAAGAAACATCTCCCCCAAATTTCAGCTTTCTAGCTCTTCTGTTCCCCGATCAGCAATTTTTCCGCCAAAATTTCTATGTGCTCATACGCGGAGCTCAGACGTGCGCGAAGGTTGGTGCACAGCTCTTGGATGTCATTTTGCTGTGGAACCTACTGGCAAAATTTTAGCGCCGAAGCTTGCTTGGTTGCCGAGTGGGAAGACGCGCACAAACATACATATGTACACACACACACACACACACACACACACACACACACACACACAGATATACACGCACACCATAGATCCTCACAATATGCGTTTTTGCACTTGCATATATGCAAAAACGCATAAAAAGGGCAAGTAGAAATACTGTAGAATTAGGCAAGATGCACTGGCCGTAAGTCTAGTGCATCCAGATGTTGTGAATGTACAGCAGCTCATGCTTCAAACAGCTGCTGCCTCCACTTGTTTGGCTTCTGCAGTACAAACAGAATTTTAAGTTAGGTCTAATTTATGTTACCAGTATGGCTACTCAGTCTTAAACAAACATTCTTTGGAGCAGTTTTTGCGGAGAGTACAGCAGAACATTGCTAAAAAGAACCCCAAAACGAAATGAATAGCACTTTGAATAAAGGACCAAGCAGGGAAATCAAAAATGTTTAAATGCTCGGCAAGATTAAACTGCACTAACAAAGCAGAGAGCAAGAACACTGCAGTTCTACGGTGATTTCTCTAGCAGTGCGTTTAGTAGCACACGATTAGCTATGGACTGATGTTTTATTTTAACAGATTTGCTACGGAGAGGCATCAGACCATAACAAGTGAATGAATTTATTTATCTTTTCTCTTCCGGGAACGTTAAACTGCATGAATTTTACGAAGAAAACAATATCTCAAAATCCCACGGCACCGGTTTCGCTTTAAGAGGAATGCCGCGCTTTCTGAGGAAAGAAATCAAACAACCATAAAGCAATGCAAAGCGAGTGTTCGCAGATACTGGGGTATCTTTAAAGAAAATTTGCCATCTGTTTCTGGCATCAATTTTGCAGAATCGGCCCAAAATAGAAATAGAAACGGATCAGATGATCATGCGGCAGAAGTGAAAAAATAACAGCAGACGATGGAACTGTTGAATGGTATTTGTGCAATGTAAAATGAATGAGAAGTGAGCCGATAAAGAGGAGTCAGCCTCGCAGCTGTTCGACTGAGAGCATGCAGCGATCTTACGTGTGACGAAGATGAAACGCTGTCTAGAGATGGCTTGAAAAGAAGTAACAATAAAATTGCAGCTACTTAATGGAACCAGCTCCAATATCTTTTGGTTTAGAAAATTTCATAAATTATGTGGTAGCATTCTGTTCTTCAACGGTACCAGAGTTTTTGGAGCACATCGCCAGAAAAAATACTCTTTGCTACAACGACTTGCTTAAAATTATGTCATTATATATAACTTGGCAACTCTAAAAGCATTTGCTGTTTTCATTCCAATTTCTGAGATCATTTGGCAGGTGGGGTCATGAGCTTCGAGGCATATTTTTTAAGCTAACAGTTATAAATGTTCTAGTGACAAGACTGAATTTCTATTTTACATCAGTAGGAAGTTGGAAAAGTTGCCCAGCTATTAGTAAAAATGTTATATAAAAAGGATAAAGAAACGTACGATTGGAAAATAGCCGTAACTTTCTTTGCAAGCACACGATTCACATTATGAAAAGATATGTCATCCGCATCATTAATTCGATTCCTCATCGAACTGATGAAGCCCGAAAATAACTGCCCTTCATCTTCAATCCCATAATTTTCCATGAGCGACTGCAAGAGTGCCAAGCAATTCAAACAGTGACAAAGAAAAATAAATTTAAATATGAATTATTATCAAAACCACACAGACTTATGAAATGCTCGGTGTTATTCAGCTACACCCCCCAAGAACTGGCCTATTAATTGCTTAGCATTTTTGCATCAGGTTACGTAACTTTCATCAAACCATCTCAACATGTACGTGAACAACTTTCATAGAAGTTTGCTTCTCATTCAGCTGATTAAGGAATAAGTTTCAGAGCGATTATAACGATGCTGTATTTTCGCCCTATGCTTACGTTACTGCCTGTCAAAACTACCACCCAAGTATGTCATCTACTTAGAATGACATATTTGGGCAGTAAGGCAGGAACCAAGTAAGGGGGCTGAAATTCTTGGACAATGCTCCTGCCTGTGTACAAGTTCAACCCCGCTCAGGGTTGTACGGATAAGTGAAAGTTTTGGCGTCAAAGTTAATAACTCGGGAATTGGGACTGGGGAACTGAAGTCTCAAAATAATGCTCCTGCCCAAGCATAAATTCAGTCTGTGCATGCCTAAGTCTCATATGTGGGCATGCGAAAGTTTCGACGCTAAAATTAGTAATTCACAGGAGCCACAGGAGCTATAGGACAAAGCTTCCTGCCTGCGTACAAATTCATCCTCGCACGCGCCCAAGTCCATGTGCGGACAAGTGAAAGTTTTGGTGCCAAAATGAATAACTCGGGAACCACAAAAGCGAGAAGGCTGAAATTTTAGGAAAGTGTTTCTCCCCGCCTACAAATTTAGCCCCACGCACGACCTAGGTCCCACGCACAGGTGTGATAAAGTTTTGGCGCCAAAATTGATAACTTAGGAACCACAAAAGTCAGGAAGCTGAAGTTTTATGAGAGTGTTCCCTGCCAGCGTGTGACCGAGGAAAATTGAACCCAGCCTTCAAGTGCGCCTAAGTCTCGCGTGTGGGCACGTGAAAGTTTTGACACGAGAATTATTAACTCGACAACCAGAAAAGCTAGGGAGCTGAAATATTAAAAGAATGTCCCTGCCTGCGTATGACCCTACAAACCCAAATTTAGTCCCGCTCCACCGCGCATGCGTAGATCTCACGTAGAGTCACGCAAAGTTTTTGGCGTCAGGATTAATAACTGGGGAGCAAAAAAAGCTAGGAGGCTAATACTTCAGAATGCTCCTGCCCGTGTACAAGTTCAGTTCGTGTGCACGCCTAACTTTCCGGGATGGATACGCGGAAATTTTGATGCCAGAACTGATAACTCGGGAAAGTTAAACAGCAAAGTTTTGAAGCAAAAAAAAAATGTGTAAGGTAGGCAGTAATGCAGTGGACACTTTTAACAGCAAGGTTCCCCTGAACAGAGTTGAATAAGCATCAGTTGGATAGGGTTACAAAAACGTCCATCGGAAAGAACTGCACAAGCGTCCGCTGGACAGTTGCAACAAAGGCTGGAACGCACCAGGCGAGCCGTTGCGATCATGCTTTGCATCAAAACTAAAGTAAAATTATTGCCCGAGCGTTCGTTTCCAAAAAAACCGCGTTCATTTA